CTAGTTCCTTTTGTTTTGTGTATCGTGTTTTGTTTCGGTTTTGCTCAGGATGAGTACCTTTACCACAATCGAAACCATGCAAGTGAGCAAAAGAACAAACGATTCGTTTGGTTTGTGCTCGGCTGCCGTTGAAACATATCGTGTATTGTTAGCGCTCGGGAACGTTATAAGAAAAGGAACACATACTTTTCGTTCTTGTTGTGGCAATGGGTAGCAGGGAAGCCAACTCGTCGGGAATTCCCCGATTTGCAGGAATTAAAATTTTGGAATATAATTAAACACAGGGTGTCCCTGGGGTATTCCAGAAAAACAATTTTTTTAAACAAAATTTCAAAAAATGCCAAATTTTAATGGAATGAATAAAAAATATATGTAAAAATACGTTATTTTATTAAATAGTACGGACTTTTATTAACTACATGCAGAGAGTTGCCACCTGTTTAAAAAATCAAATTCCACTTGAATTAAAGGAATTAGGTAATTTAAATAGATAGGTATCACCATAAGGGAGTCACACGAAAGAGGTTTAAGAAGGTTTTAGCTTAAAAATATTACGAATAGGGTTGCCACCTGTTGTAAAGTCGAATTTAGTTAAACTAAAATAATAATTACGTTAAACCATAGGATTACGCCATCGTATTTGTTATTTTATTACAAATACATACGTTGTCAATCAGCGATTTGTTCTGATAACATTCCTTTTAAATTACTGGACTCTTAAATTAACTCGGGAATGTTTTTACGCTTCACTTATTTCTTTCGAAATATGTAAAATTTTTCAATTTTTCTGATACTCATATTGATATACATATTTCAGTTACCTTGTTCCCTTAATTAAAGTGAATTTGATTTTTTTAACATGTGGCAACCCTTCTTCGTGTCGTTTAGAAGTAAAGTATTTTCAAACCTAATTCAATTGATACCCATATTGTAATATCTAATTCATTTGACTTATTAAATAATTTTAATAAAATTTGTAACAGGTGGCAACCCTTTTCAAAAATAAAAAACTTTATTGCTCATCTACAGGCCAAGCCCTGTCATTTTACACCTCACTTTTGAAAATAGAACGAACTCTATGTACATACCTATGTAAAAGCCACAAGAACCCAAATTTTCAATTTCAAACTGCATTTACAGTGAATGTATGAAAGTTATCCAAAAACAAATTGCATTTTTGAATTTAGCATCCTCAATTTTAATAAGAAGCGAATTTTCATTTAAATCCGTCCATAATTCTATTTTTGCCCACATTTTATATGTGCGACTCACGACGCGGCAATTCAGCCGCATATGTGAGACACCAACTTTCAAATACAAATATCAACTGAACGATATAACGCAGTAGGTAACAGCTAACTGTGAACCATGCTACATCTCAAAACTTACACAAGTCACTAAGTGGCAGTGGTCGGCTACTACAATTAGTATTTGAAAACCACAAATTAAAATTTTTGCGGCTAATTTGCCGCGGCGCGCCCTCCGAAGGGTTAACCCAGTTTTTGTATTTTTTTGATTATGACGCTATTGAAGTACATAAATTAATGGTATGTATGTGTATATTTATTTCACATATCAATTAGCTGCAAATAGCTCCAACTTTCTAAAATATTAAGATGTTGACGCAATGGAATACATTTTTTTAATGTGTACGCATTTTCCAAATTTAACTTGATTTTTTTACGAATTAAATTATTAAAATGAATGCATTTTTCAAAAACGGCATCAATCGGGCATAGTACTCGTATGTACTTCACCAATCTTCATTGTTTGCGAAGTGAATGTTTTTCTCAGTAAAGTACTCTCATTAAAATCGATTAATATTTCGCTTTTTCCAAAGCTTTATATTAAAATTGGGCATGCGGGTCAAACTACACCCTTTTTCAGATTGCGGTGTCTCAAAGTAAAGCAAATGAGAATCATGTCACATTTAGTATATGCGCCCACAGGAGGGTAGGTGTTGCAGTACGCCAAACTATCATCTTTCCTAAGTGAGTTAACTATTTTTGGCCACAATTTATATTTAAACCGCACACTGTGCGCCGTAACCAATGTGGCCTGTTTTATCTAATATTTGTAGCATTATATCGTAATCATAAATTCTTAGGCCTTGGTATTTTTTATACAGAAATGCTTAAGTTTAGGGGATTCACAAGACGTATTAAGCGTCGTAAAATCTTAAGCTTAACATTTTTTTATGTAACATAAAATCTTTTTATGTTTGAAAGAATAATCGACAATTTCACAACGAAAGAACCCATTAATGAGTTCCTTTAAAGCAGCTATAAACTAGTTTTATTCATCACTTTTTAAAAGCTAACCAGATTCCTTCTGCACTTGGTTCTTCCATTGTGCTCGTGGGCCCGCTTTCTTTCGTTGTCAGGGCCATAGTTCTTGCGTTCTCTCAAAAGCCCAAAGCCAACTCATCTCTGTTCGACATCGTCCAGTTTTTTGCGCTATATAAAAGTAGGGCCATGATGGGATATTTGTAGAGGCTTTTGTTCGTCGAGAAGGGCTCTACTTTTGAATAGGCTACCGAGCCCAAAGTAGCACCTGTTGGCAAGCGTTATTCTTCGCTTGATCTCCAGGCTGACACTGTTGGTGGTGTTTATGCTGTATCCTGGATATACTAAAAAGTCTTTAACTACTTCAAAGATATAAGCAGTGTTGCCGCTTTGATACATATCCAATCCAATTGGATACAATATAGCCTTACATTTTGAGGGATACTTCGTTTTTTCCTCAGTGTAAATTTGGATACCTTTTCCCATAAGTATTCGTAAGTTAAATTAAATGATTTTTATTTATGTACGAGCTATTATAACAATTTGCTGCTCATCCTCCAAACAAGAAATTTTCCTTTATTCTTGTCACCCTGAAAAATTAGTTTTTTAGCTACATAAACGTGTATTTAATAACACCAAGTAGTTTGAATATTTTAGAAAGTCCTCCGACTTGTAGTAGTTAACTTTAATGCGAAAAATTCAACTTTTACATCCCGAGCAGCCCTACTCTTAGCATTCAGAGGAAATTGACAACCATGCCGATGACTAATTTTCAACAATAACTTGACTGTACTAAAAATAACTTATAACTTATAAATTTTCAGTTATATGTCATTAAGCGAGAATTCAAACAAGCCGGAAATAAGAAATTTTTCCTGAAGGTGGAATTTATGTACAGACAAATGCAAGTTTTTGAGAAATTTTTTAATTTCATAGATAGCTCTCAATCCACCAGTTTGATTGAAAAACATTGTAACCATAATAGCAGGAAATGAAAATTTACTGAAATAAATATAACAGGTCAACATTAGTTTAAATTAGCATTATTTTGATAGACTAGGAAACATTTTTTGCATGTATTATTTGTGGGAATCTAATCGTAGTAATAAACATCGAATATGCGGAAATTTTGTCCCGTAGTTGTAGTCAGTATTTTCCCATCCTTAGACACGGAATTGGGACAGGTATCCCATTGAAAATTATGTCAAAAAACTGCAATTAACTTTAGAGTCGACCTAATTTTTATTTTGTTTCCCAAATCCGTGTCTAAGAATGGGAAAATACTGACTGCATATTAATAAGTTTGTTAAGGAGCCGAGTTTCTCTTCCATAGATGTACTGTGTAAAATGTCCGCTCCTTTCGGTGGATACATTTGGATACAATTTTCGATTTTTTATGGATACTTTAAAGGCTAAGGCAGTGGCAACACTGGATATAAGTGCCAACAGTGTTCCCCAAAGGGCGAGAACTTTTTTTGTATTGTCAGCAAGTGCTTTTCTTGTCCTCGTTCGGCCGGCGATGTTGATATCATCTGCATGCGCGAGTAGCACCGTAATTTTTCTATATATGCTTTCACTGCGGTTGTAGTTGGAACTCTTATCTCGCTTTCCCGCATCAGATTGAAAAAGTCTAAACCTAATATGCCCTTAGACGGTGCGCAAAGCTCCCTTCCAATTTAAACGGAGCTGAGTACTTTACTTACTGTCCCTCTACATAGCCGTGTTATCAAAAGCGGCTTTAAATTCGAAAAAGATGTATCTGCGTACCAAGGCCCTCTGCCTTAACATCCCATAGAACGCACTTGGTAATGCTGACTGAGATCGCTTTTATATTTACTTTTGATTGCTTTGAAAAAGACACCACCTACTCACCTCCAATTGGTAGAATTAAGAAATCTTTATTAGAAAAACGCTGCATGAAAAGATTTATTTAAAAGCACTCGGAACTAGCGCACGTTATCGGATCGAAAATTTATTTCCAATGAAATAATATATTGCAAAAATGTTATTTGTTTCTGAACCTTAGTCACACAAGCATATCTACATATTTATGCAGATTTAGGCAGTCATACACATATTTGTACATATGTAAGTAGACTATAAGTGCTTTTTTGCTTATAAAGCCTTTTAATATACAAAAATACATACATACGTAGTATATGCTTTAAGTAGAGTAAACTATTTTTATGATTTCGTAAACTTTCATTTTATAATGAGTATCTTTAAGGCCCGTATGCAGCTCTAAAGAAAACGGTCAAGAAAAAATTGCCATTATTTCGTGTGTGTGTTCAAGGAATTTTGACATCTGAGCCTATTCCTCACTTTTACCTCAAGAAATAATGGAACGAGCATAGATTTCTGTTGCAAACCTGGGTTGCCTTGTGCTCTTTTTTCACAAAAAACTTTAGAAAACCGTAGAAAATTTCTTAAGAACTGCGTACTGCCTTAAGGAAATTTGACTCGAGAAAATGTCTTACCTATTTCTTGTACGTCATTTTATATGGAGTTTTTGCTCTTCTTGAGAGCTGCATACTGGCCTTTAATGTGAATTCCCAACCGGTAGTTTGTTTGTTAGTGCTTTGTCTCAATAAATATAGATATAGTTGCAAATAATAAAAACTTTAATAAAGCTTTTCTCTTTTTATGTCTATTATTTTTCTTACTATTCTTACCTTGTCGTTCGCAATGGAACGTTGATGGCAACTAAATTCACAGTTGTTCATGATAGATAATTGTGCAGACGATTGGCGGATCGCAATGACATGGCAACGAATTAGTCAGATAGGTTTAGAACTTTTTATATGCGCAATTCATCCGATCCCTGGTGAATATTATTTCCAATGGACGACAAAGTTGGCAAATAAAAATAAAACGATGGGCACCGAAATTGTGCCATATGACGTCGCATTATCATTGCCCATGTTTCTTCGGCTGTATCTAATATGTCGAGTTATGCTTCTTCATTCAAAATTATTTACGGATGCATCATCGCGGAGCATAGGAGCCCTCAACAGAATTAATTTTAATACAAGGTAAGATCAACAAAATTATTATTTTCCGTAGTATTTTCATTTTATTCTTACTGAACTTTCTGGTGTTTCCCTATTTCAATAGGACAAAATCGTGCGAGTAAAATTTGATATTAATTAGTCAGCAATTAGATAGGAACGACTAGATATATCGAGGACTAGAAATGCATATTCTGGTAGTGGCTTCGTTAAAAAATTCTGATACTGCGAAATTTAAAAATAAAAATTTAAAAGTATCCTATGAACGTAGATATTTTAAGCGCACAAATATATGTATATTGACATGTTGCAGAATACCCACCAACTTTTAAATCTATCCACATAGATATGCATTAGAGTGTGGCCATTAAATATATGGGATGTTCACAAGTATTTTTTTTTTTTGCTCAAACATTTTTCTGAAAACGACCCAATTAATTATCGTTCTGTAACTCTTAAACTAAAAATTTTAGGCGATGGGTGTAAGTAGGTATTTTTTATTTAGAATCAAGTGTGAAATATTTCTTTAATACTTATTTTTGAGGACCGAGTGAGTTTTAATGGTGTTTCAAGTAATAAAAGGTAGAATTCATGGCGAACTCATACAAGGTGGTGTAACCAGATCAGCTGATTTCAAGGCGAAATATGCTGACTGCCAAAATGATGAGATTGTTGTACAATTAATGTGTTCTGATTTTCATTGTGCGTATAATTTGTTAGTGTAGTCTTTTGTTTTTCTGCTGCTGCTATCACCTTATCGTCACTAGACACGAACAAAGGCGCGAGCTCAAAAGTTGACAGCGGAAAAAGACACTTAAAAAAGCTTCAGCGAAGATAGACTCTTAACATAGTTGACGGCAGTGCTCCCGTTGTGCGACTAAATTGTCAAGTTGACACTTTTTGGAGATCGATGCCACCGACTTTTTAAAAATAGGCTTATTTTGAAACTTTTCTTAAAAATCATGCGACTTTTGCCCCTTTTCTTTGATATAAAATTCTACATACACATTTTGACTATTTTTTAATAAATTATATTTTTCTTGCGTGCTTAGAAAAGCTTTTAGTATTTACTTTTCAAAGACACTTAAAAATTACACCTCTAGTAAGATTTTGACTAATTTCAATATTTTTATTATGTCAAATATTTTCTGCAAAAATGTCCAGAAGTAGCATGAATTAATGCACCGTTTTTGTAACTTAGCGTTTTCCCCAAGTTATTTGTTCTAAACTGCAGGCAACATGCAAATTAAATATTTTTTTTTAGTTTTTGTCTTGATTATTCACTTCACGGATGCTTTTTCAGTACAAACGCGGTCATTTTAATATGCGCGTAATTGAATTGAATATTTACCAATATACAGTACTTTCGTTGACGTTTATATTAAGATCAATTACGTTTCTATTTGATTTTAATATTTTTTCCCCTCAGTGTAGAGGTGATTTTATTTCGACTGTGAATATGCTTTATATGAATGGTATAAACCAGAGATGGGCAAAGTGGCTCCCAGAAGCCTTTTGCACTGAGGAGCCGACTTGAAACATTTGAGTGCTGGATGAGGGGTGACATCAAGAGCCAGCATGAAGAGGGAAGAAGAGTGTAATAAAATTTCTTGTACTCCGACTCTCATTACTAATAAATATGATACTTTTAATGTATTTTTTACACCCCCTTTACCCTGAGAACTGCTTTACGTCTTGCGTAGCACTTGAAGACACTTCTTTTCGGCTGTGACACTTTTTTTCCAACTTTCCAAAAATTTTCAGCGGTAACACTGACAGCGGTAAGTGACTGTATTTGGTACAGCAGTAACTGCCTATGTAACTATATAAAATTGTTTAAATCACTGTTTGAGATCAATTTAAGATATTATCAGTATATTTAAGTAATAATAAAAAAGTTAACACATTTAAGTAAAAAATAAATATATAAGTGCATCACCTATTCCATTTTGAGCGAAGCAAAGTTATTCCTTCTTTTGATGGAAATGCGATCTTAAAGAAATTATAGCATTAAGGGTTGCGAAAAATTCTTGTTTTGCCCTTGAGAGGGGATATTTGTGATAAAAATTTAATTGGCTAACAAAAAAATTGTTTCCAGCATGTTCGGGACTTAAAAAAGACCGGGATCCCCGGGATTGACATCCCTAGTGTTTACGCGTCTTTCTTCGCCGTCAACTAGGTTTGAAATCTTTGTTCGCCGAAGTTTTCCTTAAGCGCCTTTTTTCGTAAACATTTTTTACGCGTCTTTTCGCCGTCAAAACACTAGCGCGCCTTATTCGTGTGTAGTGGCGTTATATGAATTCGCTTTGGTAGAATTCATGTGTGAAATTCCTTTGAGTCACTCTCTTGTATTTTTGAAAGACATATAACAATTTTCTCAGCGTATTATTAAATAGAGCATTAAATGTACATAGATCAAGCTAAAAAAATAACTTTTTATACCTTTCATGAGTATGAAAAGGTATATGAGTATTAGTCCGATGTTTTTAAGCATAAGAAGAAGAAGAGTATAGAAGAACAGATAGACCCATAAAATTTTTTACCAAAATGATCAGGACGACGATCTTTGTCGACTTAGCCATGTGCGTATGTCTTTCCATACGTCTCTATCAACGAAAATAGAGCCTCAGATTCAGACCTACAATTTGGTTGATGTATTTGTATAACTATAGCTATAGTTCCCATACAACTAATTGATTATGTAGGTAAGAGGCTTTGCGTTATAACTTATTCATTTAGACACCAAGAACCGTGAAATTTTCTGATCTTACTTAATAACAATTATGTTTTGGCGCTTACACTTTTTTTGCTAAGGGTTTGGCCGAAGAAAATCATCGAGGTCGGTACTCTATACGGTTGCCAGACGTACTGATTATATCAGTACGGTACTAATTTTTCAACTCTTGTACTGATTTTATTCATTTCTTCAATCAGTACGCTAATGTCCTGCTTTTCAAAATTTGTACTGATTTGTACTGAAATTTTAATTTAAACAAAATACTTTAGCATTTTCTTAATGTTTTTACATAACGTTGGAACTACCTTAAACTGTACTGTGTAAAAATAAGAAGAAAATAATTTAATTATAGTTGACATGTTTCAGATAATGTTTGATATGCCCAAGAAATTAATACAACAAAAAGATCAATCGTTTTACGGGCATATCGCCGTGTCGTTACGTACCATTTGCGATAATATGATGGAGCTTAAATTATTTAAAAAGAAGGCTGAAATTTTTGTCAAGTGTTGTTAGTTATCTCCAAAATAACTTTCAGTCTAATAACAATAAGTTTGAATATTCGAATGGCTTTTGCCTATAACTTACAACTCCTTTTTCTTAATTTACTGACATTGTAAAAGAGTTTTGCATACAAGACATAGAGTTAGATACTGTTTTAGCGAATTCTTAGTCTTTCAGAGTTTTTGAGTAGTTGAAAAATTATTTAAGCTATGAGGAAATATAGATGAAGTCCTTTAAAAGTGGCACTTTTTCACAGTATGAAAAAATATTGCATTTTGTTTTTTTTTTTTTTAAATACCACACTCAAACGAAGCAACCGAGAAGAACTTAAGAATAAAGTTTGTTTCCTGGAGCAAAAAGAGAAACCAGCTTCTAATTAAAATGTTTGAAAGTGAATTTGAAATTAAAAGTAATCTTAAAATGAAATGTATAGAATTCTTTGTACATTTAGAGTCTGAAAATGGGAATGATCTCATTATTGCTATNAAAAAAAAAAAAAAAATTTTTCCAGAACCCTCTCAACATAATCTTTAAATTTAGGGGCGGACATTAGCAACTTTTTTTTTTTGTATGGGGACCGACCCAGTCTAGTGTACACTCATGTTAAATGAATGACATTTTTATTTTTTATGAACTATATTTTATTTATATACCAAAATACTGTTAAAAACACGTATTTTCTGTTACTTACATTCATGATTTTGCTTTGAATAAAAATGTACTGAAAAGTACTGATTTTTTTAGCATGACAAAGTCTAACGTACTGATTTCTGGCACCCCTTGTACTCTATAAGTTATAGATTCCAACTAATTGTTTTTTATTCATTAAATGTATAATGCCTTCGGAACATTATTAATGAATCATAAATAATTATGGCTTCAAATATACTAGTATTTAAGATTATACATATAACATATAATTCCACACAAATTTGACGCTAAGAAGCATAACACAATGATAAGTTTTGATGATGATTTTTTTAATTAAATTAGATTTAATTATTTTTTATAGCAATGTAGTTTATTTTTTAACACAAACCGTATGAATTCAAATTTTAACCTTTGTGTATATTAAAAACATCAACAAACTTTCGTAAAAATTTTAATATGTATTTATTAATTAATTTTAGTATAACAAAGTGAAAGTTTCACTTACCATTGATTTTTGGCATTTTTTTGTTGACCGGGTTGAGAATTCCTTCAAATAAAAAAATTGTCAAACATACATACGCACACACCTCAGTAGAAGAATTATATGTGCAATATTTCAACTTCAACTATTTAAATGAAAAACGAATACTAGATCTTTGATGTTTTTTCCTTATAGTTGTATTCATTAACTCTATGAAAAGAATATAAAAAACTTTATAAATATGCATTAGTTTATAACAAGCTAATTAAATTGTACCATTATGTTAAAATTTTCATATAAAATATTTACATATGCAAAGAAACAAGTTTTAGGTTATCGATTATTTAAAAAAAACTTGTTGAGGAGTGGATCTTACAAATCCCCAGTGGTATTAAAGACCATATTTGAAGGTAGATACTCTAAAAGAAGTCATTTTATTCCTTGAATAACGATTTTGTTGTTCGCACGGTATGAATAACAACGTTTTACCGCTGGAGTTTTCAAATATCTTGGGTCGAAATGAGCTACAGTCAGACAAACGAATTTGTTTTTAAATCTTCAACTTGAATCAGATTTCTTGCATTCTGTGTATTTACCATAAAAAAAAAAAAAACAATAACTTTGTTTGAAAAAACCTACTACAATTATTAA